TGAAGCAGTTGCTCCTTATCACTTAGTAATGGTGGTATAACATTTTGAGAGAGATAAAATTAAGCCTTGTTGACAGAGAAATAGCAACATTAGGCCAGAAGAGTCGGCCATCTTGAAAATGATAACAGAGATTACAAAAAGTTTTTATACACAAATGATGCGCTCACGTGATCCTGTTGCCAATCCCAGTTACGTAGTCTATTATATTCCCGCTTTTATTGACTACAAGTAATTATTTTTATCTTTTTTCTATTCTCTAAATCTATTTTTACCCTGTTACATGTCCTTCTTTTTGTTTACAATAATAGTAGTGATAATGGTAATAATAATAATACTTAACTTTTTGACTTTATTTCTATTTTTGTCCTACATTGTGTATTACACTACATTTGTTAATAATAATAATAATAATAATAATAATAATAATAATAATGTTGTATAGTAATAATGTGGCTGTGTCACTCATCTGTCCTTCCACCTTTGGTAAATGGGCTGATGCAACTCAGTTCTTTTTTCTTTTTTTTGTAGGCCTCTCCCTTTCTCCCTCTTTTTGATATTGTTGTTGTTGTTGTTTTTGTTCATAATAATAATAATATTAATAATAATAATAAATAATAAACAATTATATATTTTATTAACTTAAAATATTCATTTAACTTAACATATTTATTTACCGTACTAACAGGTTCTTAAGCGCCCTTCGTTGTTAAGCACCTAGTTCTTATTAGGTGCCTAGCTCAATGTAGCTCTTAGCATGGGTTTGTTAAGCGCAGTACAAAACAGTAGGAGTCCAGACACTTTTTTATAAGCGTTGTGGCCACGAACCAGACTGTCAAAAGAGAATTCTTCACCACCCACCATTGTAAAGCCAGTAAAGTACTAAAGTGATTAATTAATTATTATTGTAAACCACACCTACTGTATTTATTAAGCGCTGAGTCATTATTAAACGTCCATTTTTCTGCCATTTTCTGCATAAGCTCCTACGCTTAATAACCCGTTAGTACGGTATTAACTTGTTCTTTACAAATTGTATAAATATGAATGCTGTTTTTCTTTGTTGAATAATAATAATAATAATAATAATAATAATAATAATAACAATAATAATAATAATAAATAATCCGCACTATTGGTCACCATCTTGTTTCACAAAGAAGGTTAGATCCTTCTGAGGTGTCTCGGCATCTTTTTTAGAGACTATCTGTTGGCTTGTGGCGTGCTAATGCACAAATGTGGCTTAGCCGTTCCCCCCCCCCTTCCTTCTGTCTTAGATGGCCAGATTTAACTTTTTCTTTTCCTTAGCTAATTTTTGTTTCTTATTTGTTTGTGCTTCCTTTTTGTGGTTTTTGTTATCTCCTCTGGGTTCTCCCTCTTTCCCCTATATTTTCTGGTTCTGGTTGTTGTATTTGTACATGTACATTATTTTTATAATAATAATAATAATAGTAATAATAACAACAATAATAATAGTAAGGTAATAAAAACTGCGGGTCATGATCTGAGGGATTTAATGAAAATTATACCTCGATTTCATAAATTCAGTGAACTTATCTCCAACTGTATTGGTAGATTTTATAAATTCGTTTACAACAAACTTTTTAAACTTTTCAGTTGAGTCATGGCCACCGCTGACGGTGGCCGCAGCTTCGCTTTCTCCCATAAGTCCCATTCTACGCAGAGTCAAATGATATGCCTGTCGAAAATTAGAACTGCTAACCTAAATCCATCTGTCCCTTGTTCTTCGCCATATCTTCCACTTCCAAATATGCTATTGCCCATTTTGAACTCCGAACTGAGCTGCTTTATTAGCCTGCATCTATGGTCGAAGTATCTATGGTCGAAAGCTCACGTGATCGTGCATGTGTATATAAATTTAATTAACCCAGCTAGCGTCGTCATCTTGTAGATACTGTCCTTAATTTTGTCCAAGGAGAATTTTACACTAAATCTAGATTTACCATCCTACAGCCCAGCTTTATAGAATGAGCGAATCAACAAGTGGTGAAGATGATGCTCTTTCTAGCACACAACCTGAAGCTGAAAATGATGACGATTCCGTACCATTACCCCGGCTGCCGTTATCTCTTCCACTACTACTTGCTCTAAGTGGTTCCTCTGGTGGTCTCGGCCTGTTACCTCTGCTAGCTCCAGGTGGCGCGCCGTCAGGAGTACAAAAGGCCAATAGGATAAAGAAAGATTCCTTGGCGCAAAAATATGGACAACAGGCTGGCCGATTTAGGCAAACAACAGGAAATGTAGCTGCGATAGATTTTGGAACAACATTTTGCTCTGTTGCATATACAACAAGTATAGCTAAAGATGATATCGCTACTCTCAAGCTCAATCAATATCATTCACGTGTTCCAACAGCCATCCTTTTAAAGCAAAATGGAACTAACAGTATTCAGAATTTCAATGCTGATGATCCTGTTATACGATCACCTGTCTATGAAGTTGAGTCATTTGGGTATGAAGCACAGGAACAGCATGCTAAACTTAAAGCCAGTGAAAGATCAAAATACTTGTACTTTGAACGCTTTAAAATGTCTCTTCAACAAGATGAGGTATGTTATCAGTCAGCCTTATGATCATTACTAATATATTATGTATAGGGTGTAAACAGAAACATGTCCATTCCATCATCAAGTGACATCAAGTGTCATTTAGTGGAAGTAATTGCTTTTATCTTGCAATACTTGAAGCAAGAGTTAAATAACCACTTACTTCAAAGTGGTTCTGGTGTACTAATTTCAGACTTTGACTGGGTGATAACTGTTCCTGCTATTTGGCAGTCAAGAGGAAAAAGGATGATGAGAGAAGCAGCATATCAAGTGAGTAAAGTAATCCATTAGTACACTATTTGATGTTTATACTATAGGCTGGTTTATGCACAAGTTATAAAACCATTGATCGCTTTATTCAAGTTGGTTATGGCATGCCAAAGCAAGATGAAAATAATCCTGACAAGTTGTCGTTAGCTCTTGAGCCTGAAGCTGCTGCCATCTATTGCCAAACAATGAGCAACAAAGCCATGCCTGACCACTGCAAGATTGATGGCTCAATTCAATCTGATAGATACCTTGTTATAGACATTGGAGGTGGAACTGTCGATATTACTGCTCATCGACACAATGAAGAGCAAGGAATTGAAGTCATTACTGAGCCATTTGGTAATGATTGTGGTGGCATGAAGGTTAACCACGAATTTTCTAAGCTGTTGCAAAAAATAGTAAATGATGAAAGTAACTTTGCAAAAGAGGCTTTTTCACGATACTTTGATACAAAGGAAAGTGGGGTACTTGCAACCAGAAAAGCAATTCTTAATGAATTGTTAAACAGACGATTTGAATTGGCAAAAGTCACATTTGGAAGTAAGGCCTGTGGAAAAGATTCTCTTCCAGTTGGACAAGATGACGATGACATAGCAATTGAATTACCTTACCAATTTGTTCAATTCTACGGTGTTGATGAAATCGAATCTGGTGTCGCAGCTTTGCAGGATGATCGTATTGAGCTTGATGACACAACTTTGTATATGAAGTATTCACTTGTTGCTGAATTATTTCAACCAGCCATAGATGGAATACTTAGCTGCACTGCCTCTGTTCTTGAGCGCCTGAAAGGTGATATCGACACAATTTATCTTGTGGGAGGGTTTGGAGGATGCAAGTATGTTTATGAAAAGATATCAACACTCAATAAGGCAAACTATAAAGAGCATAGCATACGAATAATTGTTCCTAAAGATCATTCGTTGGCAGTAGCCCAGGGTGCAGTCAAGTACAGGTTGGAGCCAGACATCATTTGCTCTCGAATTATGGATGCCACATATGGTACAGATATATGCCCTCCGTTTTTACCTGGACGACATGATAGGAAGTATTTTGTTGGTGTTGATTCTCGTGGCATACCAAGACGACGTGATGTTTTGCTCCATTATGTTGACAGAGGTGAAGTCATTAACAGTGACGAGGTTGTAACAGCAGAACTCTGTCCACTAAGTGATGCTGCCAAATCAATGAAGATTGATTTGTATAGTACATTAGATAAAGATCTTGAGTACATAAAAGATGAAGAAGAGAAGCCAATTCCTTCAGTGCGTAAAATAGGCGAAATAGAAGTAGATATGCCTAATGAAGAATTTCTGCCTCGAGAGAAACGTCTTGTTGAAATGACAATGGACTTCAGTCACACTGAAATACAAGTCAGGGCTCATTACACAGTAACTGGAATGCAAGTCAAAACAACACTAGATTTTTTGACTGATAATACTACACAATAGATACGACACTTTGCTACAATTATTTTTGTTTATTATAGTCATTGTGTAGTTTATTAAAAGTTGTTCAAACTATTGTCACCTTAGTATAGAAAGTTTAATTAATTCAACAATATTAATACACTACTTAAGTTAGTAAAACATAATTATTATGAATATTAGTCTATATCAAAAAATTTAAAGTTGTTTTAATATCAGTGTTTGTGTTAAGATAGCGTACTGTTGCGTCAATTTCAACAGAACTAAAATCTAAAATAACTTGAAATCGTCGCTGATCTTTATGAAGTATATCTCCTTTTGGAAGTTCAAACTTAAGTTCACCTACCTTTTCAGCCATTGGCATAATTACACCTGGTGATGGACGATCTGTCAAATATTCCAGTGAGGGCTCTTCACTTGCATAGAATGGAATGTTAATAACTTTGTCAATATCAATATCTGGTAAAACTTCATCTACAGCAACTTCATTTGACGATACAGGTGTGCCTTTTTGTAGAAAGGTAAGAAAGGCATCTTCGCATATTGGGATACCATCTTCATTGTACTTAAAGTGCTCTTTATCATGTGTCTTCGGATTATACATGACTGACACTGCTAATCCATATGTACGATTAAGGCAACGAGAATTAATTTTTGGAGCTTTTTTGTAAAGAACAGCTCCATGAGCAACAGCAAGCCTATGATTATCTGGAACTATTAAAATATAATTCATGCTTGGAAACTCTTTGGCAATAAAACTTTTAACTTTTTCGTAGACATACTTGCACCCTCCAAACCCACCAACTAAATAGATGGTCCTAAACTGAGATGATGCTTTATTCTTAGATAGCTCTAAAAGTGCCTTATGAGTGCCATCAAGAATACCTTTTATTGCTGGTGCAAAGAGATCGTGCACTCTAGAATACTTAATGTAGATAGAATCTTCCTCTATCTCAATTGCTGGATCATTCAACTTCTTCAAATTTTTCATTATATATTCCATTCCATATTGTTGAGTGATTTTGTGTGGAATTTTTACCACCAAATCTGCATCATTGTTACTTGAGCGGCCAAATATTTCCTTTTGCACTTCAAAGTCATTAAAGAGACCATAATTAATAAGCGCTTTCAAAGTGCCATCATCAGAATACAATAATTGCTGAAATGAAGTTTCTAAGTCAAAGAATTCATTTGTTTCATTTTCTCCCAAAAGTTTCTGCAAAATTCGTCCAAATTCCTTATTAACAACCATCCCACCACAGTTATTTCCTTGTGGTGCCAATATGACAGCAATCTCACCTGTTTCCTTGTTTCGTTCCTGAGCTGTGATATCAACTGTGCCACCTCCTATGTCTAAAACAATATATTGCTCTGGAGCATAGAGCTCTTCCAATGGTTTCTCACAATATTTTGCCATGTGAGATGAATTCATTGCTTGACAGTAGAGGGCAGCAGCTTCAGGTTCAGGTACTAATGACAGCTTTGATACATTAATCTCACTTGGAGACAGTTGGACTTGTGCTTTGCATGCACATGATAAGTAAAATATTCGTCCTGAACCACATAAACCAGCCTATACAGAGAGAGAGAGAGAGAGAGTAAATAGGTATTCATATCTTTCCTGTGAATGACGTTTCCAATTTATAATGATATTCATTGGGATACTGTAAATAGAAAAATTTTCGGGCCACCATTGTGGAGGCATTGCTGCACTGTTTCCAATGGAGCTCGATACACTTTCGGTAGTTTTGTAAGAAGAGCAAGCAGTTATAGCCTCAAAAGTAAAAAAATTGCAACCTTTATCTTTCTTTTTAGTAGTCTGCAACTGTTTAGAGCCACTGGAGTGACGTGGAGAAGTATAACTGACATTTTTAGCCTGTCGGTCCATTGTAGTATACCTCCACAATGGCGGCCTAAAAAATTTTCTATTTACGGTATCCCAATGAATATCATTATAAATCGGCAACGTCATTCACAGGAAAGATATGAATAAACACTGTATAGCTTTCATGACTATTTTTTAAATATCTTGCCCCACCCCAAATTGCTTATACTTACTAGATATCCAGCTTCTCTCATCATCTGTTTTCCTTTGTTTTGCCAAATTGCTGGCACAGTGATAACCCAGTCAAAATCTTGGGCAGTCAAAGCAGCACCAGCCATTGAGATGCATTTTATAAACTCATCTTTTATGTAACAGAGAATATATGCAATTACTTCAATTAAATACCACTCATTGACTTCAGTGGAGTCATTGTTTAAATTAATTGAATTAATTTTCATGCTCCTTTCAACGTTCTATAAAACATAAAGTAATCTACAAAAGAATAGCCAGTCCATATACCTTCTCATGCTGAAGCCTCATTTTCATCCTTTCAAAATAAAGAAATTTTCCATTATCACCTCGTTTGAGCCTTTGGTACTTATTCTGTGCTGCATATCCAAATGAATCTACGCTGCATTCTATTCCAACGACAGTGCCTTCAGAATTTATTCTTTCTTTTCCTTTTTTTAATAAAATTGCAGTAGGGACGCGAGCGTGATAATCATCTAATCTCAAAGAGCTAGTCTCGTCGGCTGAAGCTGCCGTGCTGTAAGCGAGAGAGCAATGTGTTGTTCCGAAGTCAATTGCGGCCACATTTATGGGCTGGTTTACCTTTATGTCGAAAGCAGCGTTCTCAGGAGAGCTAACTTCGCCGTTTACATTTTTTTTTCTTTCTCGCCTCGCTACTAGTGGCCAGTCGACTTTTTCCGGGCACTTCAGATTTTTTCCAGTTTCAGAGGCCATTGCTATGATCATCAAATCTGACAGTAAAGTCACTATAACCAGGTAGAGCAGTCAAGCAGAGTCCACTGTGAATTCCGTGATGAACGTGGCGGGTGAACTAACGCCACGGTATAACTGAACTTACCCGGGGTGTGGTTATTGTTAAACCAAGGGCCCTGGGCCCTAGCGCTAGCCCAAATAGCTTGCATGATCGATGATAATTCTCCCTAGATACTTTATACGACCCGCAAGGACGAGACTGACTTCGCTTCAAAATAATTATGGCAGCCATAAACCAAGACGTTGAGGAGCTGGCCTCTGTATTTCAAGAACTTCAGAAAATTTTGGAAAGCAAACATACACATTTGTTACAGCAACTATATCGTTTTCATGAAGAGAGGAAAAGGCAACAAGAAACGATCTCTATTCTACGGAAAGACTTAGAACTAAGCCAGTCTCAGAGCAGACAAGAAATAGAATGGTACAAGCAAGAATCAAAGAAATGTCAAAAGAAAATTCAAGAGTATGAAAATTTTTATAAACAATTAGAATCAAACCTTGCTCAACAACTGGAGGCCATCAAAAAAAGGGAGATAGAACTTAATGAAAAAGAGAAAAGGTTACAAATGCTCAATGAAGAGCTTACCTTAAAAAAGAAAAAGAATGATGAAACAAGACTTCCTCCAGATGAACAAAAAAGGTAAACCACAATTTTATATTTCAATTATAATTATTATTTTTTATAGATCAATACGAAGACGCAGTTCATCAGTGGATGGAAGGAGAATGTTACCTAAAAAGCCACAGTATGGAGTAATACACCCAGGCAGCATAACACATGATACCATTCAGCAGCAATTTATTGAATATTACACAAAGCATAAACGACAATATGGATCACAACTGAATAAGTATGGCAAGCAAAATGCTACTACACTTTGCCACATAATTCAGGTACATTTAGACTAAAGTAATTAATATCTGTATAATTTTATTCATTTGCACAAAAGATTGCCTTTGATAAAAGTATGAAAAAAATAATAGAAGTTGTTCAACAAACAATTGAAAAGAAACAAACAGATCATGAGGTTATTAAAGCAATTTCTCTATTAAGGAAAAGTCGTGTAACACTTGTAAGTTTATATTTCTATTGTCTCACTAAATTATCATTATTATCATGCTGTTATTATTAACATTGATGTATTCTTCTTTAGAGTTACGAAGCTGATATTTTAGAAATAAAGCGCTTCTTTTCACTGCCTATTTATGCTAAGGAATATACTGGCAGTCCTGAAGGCTGGGAAGAAAAAAAATATGCATATTTTATTCTACTTAACTCTTCTGATATCAAGAAACATGCAATATGCACTTCTTTAGAAAAAGAAGTAAGACATACTACAGTAGCTATATTTTAATATTAATTTATTTGATTACAAAGGTTACTAATGAATTGTTAGAGATGTTTACTAAGATTGATCATATGATAGTTGATATGGTAAAAAAGGCTGTTCATTTATCATGGGATATGGTGACTTTAGTACCCCCTGCTATTGTAGCTCAACCTGATAAATATCATGATGAATGGCAAGAAAAAAGATATAGTTATTGGAAAGAAGAAAACATGGATCAAGCTCTCAACTATTATCGTCCTGTGTTGTTCTTTAGTACTTTAGGTCATGTGGCATGTAAAGGAAAAGTGGGAAACATGTTGCCAAAAGAGCTGGCAGGAGGTATAAAATAAATAACCATGATACTATTATGACTATTGGTTTTACTAGATAGTGTACAACTCATTCCTGAGACACAACCCTTAAACAGGTATCCTTTCATATATTTTGTGTACTGAATTAAAAAGATGTAATATTATGTTTACTTATTTAGACCAGAGCACTTAAAACCTCATAAACCTTGTGTCGGTAAGTGTTATGTGTAAATTTCTGCTATCACATGTATATATAATAGGTAAATTGGGAAAACATTATGGTATAAGGAACCCTAACTAGTAGCATAAGCATTTTAAATTCAATATGACCTTTATTATTATTTTAAAATGATGTGTCTCCATTAAATTATTAGTAGCATTATTTGCTTATTAATGAAGTTTACATTATCAACAAAGAAAAGTGAACGCCATTATAGTTTTTAAGTAAACTTAAAAGTAAATACAATAAACTCAGCTATAAAAATCAGTTTGCATGGTTTACATTTAAGTTTATTCCAGTAAATAGTTTGTCTCATGCCATTAGAGGTGGGCAAACTATAGTTTTAAGACTCTAAATATAAAATGCAAAATATGGGAGTCACCTTATAACCCAAAATTATCAAAACAACTGCACCTAAATTCCTCTGAATCAGAAATATGTCCTTATTTGGTCATATTGCAAGAGCATCTCTACAGTCGCTATTATCATATCAGCCAATTCTATACTATCCACATCCTGTGAGTGACTCACCGTCTGAAAACAATCATGCCAACACTAAGGAATTTGTACCAAATCACTATATTTTACTTGGCAGTCTGGTCTCATATAGCCAGACCAGAACCTTCATATCCATGCATAAGCAGCTACTTCTTTGGAGTAGTACTAGGATAAAACAATAAATCAAATAATTGAACAAATAATTATCTAACTTCCCTATCATCTACAAGTATTTGCTGCCTATACATGTATAATAAAAGCAATACCTCTATCCTTGCCTGAGACTGGGCTGAGAGAGTGGATTACTTAAATAGGTGCATAGCAATGACTATAATAACCATGCTGTCTTACTTGGCTTCAATTTGGTTTGCCACAGTTCTACACTTTGAACTGAATTTCTAGCCTTGCATTTGTAACTTCAAGAGGTCTATGCTCCAGTGTAAAAATTTAAAACAAAAATATTAATTTCTATTTTAGTTGTGCAATAATAATGACAATGTGATGTTTTTAGGTTGAGTGTTAATTACCTAGTGTACCTTAGAATAATAATAAACTACCGGATTATGTACACATCTAATTCAGTAGTAATGTTGTTTTCATGCCATTCTTTGAGCCTTAATTACACAAAAATACAAGTAAAACAAACAGAAAACAGAGACTATTACAGAAAAAAGGAAGATAGAAGAAAGGAACAAATTTTTAAAAAGAAAAGGGATAAAATTTAAAATGGGAACGTGAGAGAAATGAGAAATTGTTGAACAACTCCATCAGCAGTACAGTGGAGGGGATGTGGGCATTAGATCACCATAGACAAACTAATAGTAGTTGTCAAGACACTTCAGCAGGATCCAAACCGCAGCAAGAGGCCAAATGACTGCCAATATTATTATTATTATTATTATTATTATCATTATTATTATTATTATTATTAATATTATTATCAAAAATACCACACAAGGAGAGAGCAAGTTAGAATGAATACATGTAGTTTGAGAGAAAGTCAGAAAAAGATATATAGAAATATTTCAAATATTTAAAATTAGTACATATAGTTAAGAATTAT